TAATAATGAATACTCTCTTGAGAGGGAGAGAGACACTATACCTTATCACACATCGCAAGTCCCTTATTCTTCATTCTCAGATGTGCATTTTCAGAGTAAAGATATGAAATTAACAGCATCTTACCTAACATCGTACACATTACTTTTAAATAGATAACAAATTACTGTTTAGTTTACCAACTTCTGCCGTAGTTTTTCCATTGCAAAACGGAGGGAAAAATAATTATGCTACTTAATTTTCCTTATTTTCCCTCTTTTATTTTGGTTCCCATTATCAAGAGCATAAAATCCCATGATTTGCTCTTTTTCTTCCCATGTAGAAGAAAACGAATTCCGCAAGGACCAAATATGAATAAAATACCCCAACAAATATTTCATTCCAAAAGTCAAGCCTTTATTTAACATCATAACAAGAAACAAAAAGTTTAACCCCCACCATACTCCCCATCTCACAATACACAGTAGGAAAGATAAATATTTTTAACACTCTAAATTGGTGAAGTAGAGATGGTAATAACAGAGATTTTGAGGCTCACATCTGTATTCTATCTTTAGACAGCTCGCCATGGCTGCAAATCCAGTTATTGGGCTGCCCCGCCAAGCATACGACGACCTATAACTCCTGATTCCATCAAGCTCGGAAGAAATCAATTATTCACAACCCCATTTATAGACCTACCGTAAAAGTTAAGGGACCATCGAGGTCTTTTTTCTCACCCACTTACAATTATGCTTCATATTTTCCTTGTCTAGCCATTTAAGAAAATATAATACAATTGACAACAACCAATCCAAACAGGCGTTAGTGTAACAGAGATAAATGCATATAACATCCAGATGCGATTCAGATTTGAACTTTATTCGAGTTGAATTTTCTACCTACATTGAACTTTTATTCGAGTTGAATTTCTACCAAACCATTTGAGTTACTGGGTTTGCAAACTCTTAGTTGTGGCAGAAGGTCGCGGGCTCAACATATCCCAACACAAATCATGAAAGATTATGTTTCTTGTACTTTCAAGCAAACGGAGCTACAGATGTGTGTATGATAAGGCAAAAGAGAAGCCAACAAGGCCCATGGCTGCCAAAACACCGGTTGCATGTGCGAGAGAAGATTCAATATTCTCGATCACAGGCCATACAGGGTTGCCACCCATGATACAGGTCAGGTCATCTCAATACCCAAACCGCTTAGCCGATAATAGAAACATCATCTTCACTGCCACTTTATGTACCTTGTGCATCAACACTATAAATAACACACACAGAGGAAAGACAAGATGTCAATAAAGGGCAACTCGTGCGTAACAGCAGCCCGTATTCACGCAAGATTTAGGGAGGGCGCACCCCTAAGGTATAATATATACAGCCTACCCTAATGCAAGTATAGTGCTGGAATCTGTGACCTATAAGCCACACGGAATTAACTTTGTTGTTTCTTCCAAGACTCTAGAGATGTTAGTATCTTTAACTTAAATCATTTCTGCCACTTTCTGCAAGGGCTGTTGTTCTTCTTGTTTTTTAATAATGGAGGAAAATCAATGGTGAAACAGGGGGCAACCACCTTTGAAAGAAATCCCAAACATCTTGGTTTTGCATCATTTCTGTAATTCTTCTGGGCTAACCTTTTTCCTTTTGAGGGAAAGAAAAGGAGCGTCATTTTCATAATTGCCAGACTTTGAGGTCCAAAAAATAAGGGTTAGTTTCTTTAGATCTAATAAGTGATTCTAAAAAGCACGGTCAAACAGGCTATAAAACAAATAAGCTGATTTTAGAAACACGGCCAAAGAGGCTAATACTCGGGACTTTCCTGAGGCTCAGATTTGCTGCATTTTAGTCAAAGCTAAAAGAGAAGGCGCCGCCGCCATGGCTGCAGACACCAGTTTGCTATAGAAAAGCGTTACCGGGTCGCCCCCAGATACGGAGTCGATAATTCTCTGCCATGAATTGAACATACCCAGAAAGGAAAAGCAATCATCACAGCCCCTTTACATACATCAGTAGCAGCACAAAGAGAGGAGAAGAGGAAAGGAAGAGCAATATATTTGGGGCTGTTGGATGATTTTTTTTATTTTTTGTTTAATTTAAAGGGCTGTTGATTGTAATGGAGAAATCACAGGCATAACGAGAGGGGCAACCACCTTTTACAGAAAATCCCAATCTCTTGTTGCCTCATTCTTTCTCTTTTCTAAGGCTATGCTCAAAGCTGTTTTTTGGTGGAAGCGTCTGCCAATAAATAGGGCAAAAACTTTTGGGTGGTAAAATCTAAGGGCATATTGGTCAATGGCTATACAATTTTTAGGAATACTATAGTAAAAAGAAATTGACGAACAAATTTCGTATTTGTATGAAGTAGTATTGAAATGTTTAAAATTCAAATTTTCAAGCAAAGATGGGAAGAATAAGTGTATAAAGCGAAAAATTTGTGTTCTGTGTTATCAAAACGACATCAGTGTATGCTATGTCAATGGTGGGTTAAAACCATGAAATTGTACGTTCAGTCGTAACAAGGGCAATAAATATGAGAAACTTTCAGAAACCACTATGTTTTTAGTGGTTATTAACTAGTTATACTACCATTTACTATACTAGTTTTAGTGTACGGACGTTGCGCGTGTTCCCATTCTTAGTAAGTAATTTTTCTAAGAAAAAATGCATATATATTTTTTAGATTATTTTTAAATTAATAAATAAAGTATAAGCTTTTGAAATTAATAAATATATTAATCCTATATAGCTAACTCAATAAAAAAATTTTTGTTCCTCAATATTATTCAATATATTTACCTTAAATTTTGTTCTAATTTTTTAGTTTTATCGGTTCAATTTTACAGTTTTCTATACTTCCTTTTTAGTTTCAGTAAAAAACCATAGCCTTGAAGATTTAAAACTTTTTCTAAAATATTATTCAAAAGCTATTCTCAAGTTTATGCGAGAAGGCACAAACATGTTTAATTAGCACTTTTATTATGATTCTTTAAAAAAAATTCGTATAACATAAATTAAAAAATGAATTTCATGTCTTCTCAATTTATCTCCTTTCAAAGGTTTCAATGTTACTCAAGTAGTAAGGTTTTAGTAGCTGAGATAACAAAAAAATTATGATTAACATAATTTTGTCGAAACGCTGTGACAAAGAAAGCATTAATAAAACATAAAAGTTTAATAGGACGAACAAATTACTATGAAAAGTTAATTGAAATTCACTGCGTGTGTATGTACATATTAACTTAGATATTTTATTTTTAATATATAATTCATCTTAAAGTTCTAAATATTTATACTTCATATATAGTTTAAATAAATAGATTCAATAAGTATAAATTTAATTGATTTTAAAATCCTTATTTACTAAAATATTTAAATTATATTTCTATTCAATATAAAATTTATTTTTATAGAATAAAAAGTCAATCAACATTTCCTGTAGAGGTTTTGTGCTTTTATAAAAAAGATTTAGGCTTTTACGATGTATTATGATTAGATATGCTATCAAATAATTATTTTGATTGTTTCATTGAATATGGATTTATTATATTATATGACTAAAATAAGAATTTTTAAAATGCACATTTGATTGTTCCATGCTAAAACACTTAATGTTGACGCTATTGTATTTAAGAAGTTTAATTTAATATGTGATTTCATGTCGTCATACTTTCATTAATTAGAAATCAATTCAAAGCACCGAATAAAATGTTCTCATCTATTTTCAATTAGTATAATATATATATATATATATTTTTCTTACCTAGTTTAATAAGGAAAGATTTAATATGCAAAGTTTTTGTTGACGCTATTGTATTTAAAAAGTTTCATTTAATATGTGATTTCATGTCGTCATACTTTCATTAATTAGAAATCAATTCAAAGCACAGAATAAAATGTTCTATCTATTTTTTAATTAGTATAATATATATAAGGTAAATATATTTATGTATTTTTTTCTTACTAGTTTAATAAGAAAGATTTAATATGCAAAGTTTTAAATTGATTTCAAAGTCCTAGATATTAGGAAAGCACTTGAATTACAATTTTATCCATTATGAAAGGTATTTTAAAAGGGTAAAAAAGACGAATGACATTTCGCTAAGGGTCTTCGTGCTTTTAAATATAGTATAGATTACTTCTTGTGGCTACCTTTTGATTTAGAGCCCACATAAAAAAGACTTAACTTTTTTCGAAAATTTTTTATTTTTTTAAATCAATGTTTGCCATAAAATTTTTAATTTTCACTTCAAAAAAATTGGAATTTTTTTGAAAATTTGAAAAACTCCAAAAAGCTATTTTTTCAAAATTTTTCACTCATATCACTCACAAAACTTCAAAAACTCAAAATTATATTCATGTCCAAACACAACTCTAATTTTCAAATACCATTTTATTTGGAAAAAAATTCACTTTTTTTTGGAATTTTACATTTCTTATGTACAAACGCCCATAACTCTCTATCCAAGCTTTGACTAACAGAATTACTCGCTAAGAATTAATTGAGGTACGTGTAACTCATCCTGGTATCATGATTATCAAAAAGAAATCTATCAAAATGACTGATCAAGTTCTAATTTACACGTGATGCTGATAGAAGCCATGGGAGATCAATTGAAGCTAGAAAGAAGTGAGAGATTTAGAGAGAAAATGAGAGAAGAAAGAGCTGAGCTTCTTCATTTCTGAATAATGAACTGTACAAGGACTACAGTATTTAATAACTAACTATTAACAAATAACCGCTCAACAACTTATTGCCTAACTAACTCTAGTTAATATTATAATTAGACCTAACTACAGTTAACCATCAGCTTGTTACACAGCTGCTGGTCAACACTCCCCCTCAAAGCTGATGATTCAAACAAGTTCTTCAGTCCAATCTTGTTTCAGTAGGTACTCATGTTGAGCTTTACCCAATCCCTTTGTAAGCAAATCAGCTAGTTGATCTTCTGTATTTATATGTTCAGTTCTCAGGTAGTCCCAGGCTAATTTTTTTCTCGTACAAAGTGACAGTCTATGTCAATGTGCTTTGTTCTTTCATGAAATATTGGATTTAGCACCTATTTGGATTGCTGCTTTGCTATCACATATCAAGTGTTATTGCAGTTCAATCTTGACACTAGCTCACTGAATAAACCAGTTAATCCAAGTGACTTCTGCTGCACATAGATGTCATACTTCTAAACTCTGCTTTTGCTGAACTTCTGGAGACAGTGCTTTGTTTCTTAGACTTCCAGGATATCAGTGCATTCCAAACTTGATAAATACCCTATAACAGATCTCCTTGTCTGTATGCATGCCCCTAATCTGAGTCACAATAAGCAAGTCAGCTTACTTGAAGATTCTGATGGCATAAGCAGTCCAGACCCGGTGCCCGTCCTTATATACCTTATTACTCTCAATGCTGCTTCCATATGAGATACTTTTAGGGCAATGCATGAACTGACTGAGCACTTGTACCACAAAGGCATATCTGGCCTGGTCATAGTGAGATACAGGCAACCTTCCTACCAGTCTTTGATAGACACCAGGATTCTTGAGAGCTTCATCCGAGTGAGTATTATTTGTATTGAAGCACTTATCAAACTCAGTGGTTGTCAACTTCTGGTTCAGTTCTAATGGGTGTTCCAGCTGGCTTTTGCACCACTTAGTCCTAACTCAGAAATTAACTCTAGTGCATATTTCCTTTGACACAATGAGAATTCCTTGTTTAGACCTTTGCAAACTCAATACCTAGGAAGAATTTTAGCTCTCCTAGATCCTTCATCTTGAACCTTTTCTTGAGATCTGATCTTGTTTCACACAGTAATTGTTGATTGTTCCCAGTGATCAAAAGATATCTACATATACCAGTATGACCACTATGTCACTCCCAACCTTCTTTGTAAACAGAGAATAGTCATAATGACTTTGCTGAACCCCATACACACTAGGGCCTCTGTCAATTTCATATTCCATTGTCTTGGAGCCTGTTTAAGGTCCATAGAGGACTTATGAAAGTTTGCAGACTCTCCTTAGGATTCTCCCCTTCTAGCAAACCCTCAGGTAATATGCATATAAACCTCTCAATAAGATCACCATTGAGGAAGGCATTATGAACATCCATCTGAAAAATCAACCAATGTTGAGAAGCAGCTAAGGCAATGATGGATCTAACATAACTATCTTAGCTACAGGAGAGAAGGTTTCACAATAATCTAAACCTTCTTTTTTTCACTGTATCCTTAGCAACCAGCCTAGCTTTGAATCTTTCTACCTCCCCAGATGCTTTGTACTTCACATTATACACACCACATACAGCCAATGGGTGTCTTTCCTGGTGGAAGATCCACAAACACTCCAAGTTTTATTGTTGTGACGACCCAAAGGTCATCACCTGTTTCCTCATTTATTCCGCGCTTCCGAGGCCTTGAAAACCTCACTTTTAATTGCCTCGATTTGCGTGCGCAGTCCGGGCGCGTAGCCGAAAAAAATTATATGTTAAATTCTGTGAAAATTTTCAAAATGTGGCTTTAAAATGATTAAAGTTGACCTTGGTCAATATTTTTGGTAAACGGACCCAGACTCGTGATTTGACGGTCCCGGAGGGTCCGTAGAAAAATATGGGACTCGGGCATATGCCGGAGTCGAATCCGAGGTCTAGAGCCCGAGAAAAGAATTTTTCTGTGAAATTGTTTTCCTGAAATTATTGAGGAAAATGGAAATGAAAATTGATTAAAAGACTGTGGTATCGGGCTCGTATTTTGGTTCCAACGCCCGGAACAAGTCTTAAATATGTGTTAAGCGCTTTCAGTAAAGTTTTGTCGAAATCGGACGTCATTTGGCGCGTTTTGGACCTAAATATCTAAAGTTTAAAGTTTGTGAAGTTAGAATGAAAAATGATGATTTTTGAGGTTTGATGCATTGATTTGATGTTGTTTTTGGCGATTTGATCGCTCTGTTAAGTTCGCAGGATGTTGTTGAGTTAGTGTGTGTGATTGGTTAGGAGCCCGAGGGCTCGGAGTGTTTTCGGAGGTTCGGGGTGTTTTTAAACTTAGAAAGACTTCAGATTTTTCTGCAATTTTTACACAGAAAGACCCTTCTTCGCGTTCGCAGTGTTGCCTTCGCGTTCGCATAGCTTGCTCTCTCCCTCCTTCGCGTTCGCGTTCTGGCCATCGCGATCGCGAAGCTCTGCTGCTTCCTTCAAACGCGTTCGCGTGTCTTCTATCGCGTTCGCGTAGGCCCAGACCCCAGACCCCAGAAAAATTTCTCTACGCGTTCGCAGCCCCACTATCGTGAACGCGATGCTTCCAGTCCACCCGTCTTCGCGAACGCGACCCCTGGGTCGCGAACGCATAGAAAAAAATCCCCCAGCTATAATTTTAAAATTTCAGAATCAGAACCTACGGGATTTATCCAATTTTCTCACGAGCTCTCTTCTCTCCCAAGCTTTAGGAAGCCATTAAAGCCCCCATTCTTCAAGACCACTTGGGTAAGTAATTCCCCACTCATTTCCTTCACTCTTCCTTCATTAATTAGCAAGTTTCTAAGCCTAAATCATGAAATCAAAGTAAAATTAGGGTTTTGGGTAGAGTTAGGGTTTTGAGAATTTTGGGTGATTCAACCTCAATTTGGGGTCGAATCTTAAACAAATTATATATTTGGACTCGTGGGGTTATGGGTGACTAGGTTTTGTCCGAGCCTCGTGTTTGGACTATGTGGGCCCGGTGTCGAATTTTGGTGTTTTTGGAAGAATGCTAGGAAATTCATATCTAGGCTATGGGATGTTGCCATTGAGTCTTTATTGATATTATTGAATTAATTATGCCTAGATATCATTGTTTCGGAGTCGGATTGTAGAGGAAAGGCGGTATTTGAGGATTGATTGCTATTCTTTGGACCGAGGTAAGTGTTTGATCTAACTTTGGCTTGAAGGAATAGGATTAGAGTGTTATTATTTGTTAATTGCTAAATGAATCGAGTATGGTGTATAAGCATGGTGACGAGTATCTATACACCGGTGTCTAGCATGACCGTGGGTCCTTGTATGTACTTATCCTGATATTGTTATGACTCTTCCATGTTAATTGATGAATTCTATGAAATGTGAAGAGTATGAGGACTAATTATGAATTGTAAATTCTTTGGAGCGTTGGCTCGAACGATAAAAAGACTAATGAGTAAGAAATGAAAGAAATAGAAAGCGATATGATTAATCCCTTGCCGGGATGGTTTGAGTATTTTGACTACCTCCTTTGCTGGGATTTAGCTGTTAATTGTCTAATTCCCTTGCCGGGACATTTCTTATTATTTGTTTATCCCCTCGCCCCGTTTGTTTGTGATTACTGTTTGGGTGAGGAAGAGTGATAATGCACGAAGGGTCATTCCGTGCCATGCTTTGATTATATTTGCACGAAGGGTCATTCCGTGCCATGTTTTGATTATATTTGCACGAAGGGTCATTCCGTGCCATGCTTTGATTATATTTGCACGAAGGGTCATTCCGTGCCATGTTTTGATTATATTTGCACGAAGGGTCATTCCGTGCCATGTTTTGAATATTTATGCACGAAGGGACATTCCGTGCTCTGATTTGATTATAATTGCACGAAGGATCATTCCGTGCCATGATATGAGAGTTATGTGAGGGAAAGCACGAAGGGTGATGCCGTGCACTTTATTTGATTGCTTTTGGTGAGAATGAGAGTAAAAACACGAAGGTTGATGCCGTGCAACTGTTGATTTTCCCGCTCTCATTAATTATTGTTATTGCCCTGTTTCTTACGTAAATTGTTGACTTTATATCCGTACTATACTCCCCCATAGTATGTTCCCCTCCCTCTTAACTGTTTAATTGCTTTGTTCTTTCCTTTTATTGCATATAGATATTGAACTGCACAGGTTGGTTTTGTAGTCCTGTCTAGCCTCGTCACTACTTCGCCGGGGTTAGGCCAGGCACTTACCAGCACATGGGGTCGGTTGTGCCGATGCTACACTTCTGTGCTCTTTTGCACAGATCACAGTATCGGAGCAGCTTTTGGACCACAGTAGTAGGATATTGATCGGGAGCTGATTTCAGTCCAAGGACTTACGAGGTAGCCTAGCTGGCGTTCGCAGACCGGAGTCCCTTTCTATGTTTTCAGTTTATTTTCATTGTACCGAGACAGACATTTATGCATTTCCTATTCAGACTTGTTTGTAGTACTCTTTAGTAGTTCGTGAGATAGCGACTCCGGTCTTAGGTAGAGAAATATTAAACTTCCGCATTTTGGGTTTTCAGTTATTTATGTTTTAAAGACTTCCGCTTATAGTTAAATGACTCGTTAATATTATTATTGTTGGGTTGTTATCGGAAAATGTTTAAATGCTTGGCTTGCCTAGCTCCGACAGTAGGTGCCATCACGACTCCCGATGGTGGGAAATCCGGGTCGTGACAATTGTCCTCAAGTGCAGCAATCTCCAACTGCATAGCTTTCACCCACCTAGGATCAGCAGCAGCCTCTCTGAAGGTGGTAGGTTCTGTAATAGCTGAGTAGGCTATGAGAGCCTGTCGAAAGGTTGGAGAGATATGTGAATAATCAACATAAGAGGAAATAGGATAAGTGCATTTTGAGCCTTTGGAGAGAGTGACATAATCTTGCAACCACACAGGTGGTTTGCTTGGTCTAGAAGATCTCCTGCATCCTTCAAGATTCTCAGCAAGATCAGACTGACCAGCAGATAATTCAGCACAACCATTGTCTTGAAGACTAGGCATAGTAGAAGGAATAGGTTCAGGAGCAATTCTGTCTGGAGAAAAAGAAGGAATTTCTGCAGGGAAATCAGATGGCACTGGATCTGCAGCAGGTTCAGTTGACCTTTCTACTATAGGTATTGAATAAGAGATAGGGGAAGCATTCAACTCAGGAATAATAGATCCAGAACAGGGAATACCATAGTTCCTGAATCCCTAGTATGCTTGAAGGGAAAGATAGATTCATGAAACACCACATTTCTATTAACCACAAAGTGCTTGGCATGTAGATCATACAGTATATAGTCCTTTTGAGTAGAAAAGTAGCCTAAGAGCACAGCTGGTACTGCTCTAGGGGAAAACTTATCTAGGACTTTAGGGGATGTAGAATAGCACAGACAACCAAATACTTTGAGGTGAGACAAAGAGGGTGGATGCAGATACAGCTTTTCAAAAGGAGATTTGTACCCAATTACCTTAGAAGGTAGCCTGTTCAGTAGATACACTGCTGTAGCAACACATTCTCCCTAGAATTTTAAAGGCACAGATGCATGAAATCTGAGAGATCTAGCTATGTCCAAAATAGTCCTATGTTTTCTTTCCACTACCCCATTTTGTTGGGGTGTGTAAACACAAGTACTCTGATGTACAATACCAAGATCAGACAACAAATGCTTGAATGCAGTGCTAAAGAATTCACTTCCATTATCTGTTCTTAGAATTTTGACAGTAGTAGAGAACACATTGCTTACTTGAGTGAGAAAATCTCTTAGAACTACAATTGCTTCTGATTTGCAGTTCAAAAGAAAAATCCAAGTAAACCTGCTATAATCATCAACTATGGTGACAAAGTACCTTTTACCATCATGGGTAGGTACTCTATATGGTCCCCAAATATCACAGTGAACTAGCTCAAAAATAGACTTAGAAGTAGTATTACTTAGCTGGAAGGGCATCTTAGTTTGCTTAGCAACAGGACATACAGTACATGGCTGACTAAGAACTCCTGTTGCCAGCTCATTCAATGCTTCTATCTTCTTTATTACATCAATAGGAGCATGTCCCAATCTCTTATGCCATAAACTGCAAATACTAGATACATGTGTTCTAGAGGAAGTACTGGAAGCAGGTGGAAACATAGATGCATCACTTGCTGAAGCAGCAAGAACTTCATTTGTTGTGTTGGCACATTTATTTGTTGGCTGAGATGAGTTTGCTATAGAGGTACTCCCACGCAGTATGTATAAACCATGTTCTTCTCTACCAATCCCCTTCACCTGACCACTGAAGAGGTCCTGAAAGATACAGAAGTCAGGAAAGAAGCCAACCATATATTTTAGTTCCTTAGTAAGCTTTGAAACTGAAAGTAGGTTGAACTTAAAGTCAGGAATATACAGGACATTAGAGATTTCATGATTGCTCAATACAGAAGCATTTCCTATGTGTGATACTGATGCCACACTACCAGTAGGTAATTGTACTTTGTTTTCTTCTGTGTTTGGGAGTGCTTTATAGTCATGTAGTATTTCAAGGCTGGAAGTCATATGGTTTGATGCCCTAGTGTCAACAATCCACCTGTCATTAACACAGTGAGACATAAATGCATTCACTTTGTTTAGAATACCTGCAGCAGTTGACTTGCTTAATGCTTCTGATCCTTCTATGCTTCCTTTGGATAACAAGTGAACTATTTGCTGATACTGTTCAGGAGTAAAAACAGGAGTAGAGAGTGGCATTTGCTGAAAGAATGCAGGCTGATTAGCTGGCTGTGGTTGTAAGGCACCTGCATTAGACTGATTACCAACTCTGCCTTGTTGAACCACATTAGAAGCTACATTATTTCCCATACCATATCTGTCTGCATAGTTCAGTTCTGGACTGTACCCCTGATTTGCATACTGTCCACTATTGACACCTTTCTTCTTGGAATTGAAGTCAGGAGGGTATCCAATGAACTTATAGCAGTTTTCCTTGCTATGTCCCTTGTAATGGCAATATTCACATTGAACTTGATTCCTTTTCTGTTTGTAGCTTCCAGTGTTATTTGTGCCTTTGTTACTGTACATGGCTAAATTCTCCAAAGCGTCAGACACTTGGGCTACTTGTGGCATATTAACAAGATTTCTCTCACTTTCCTGATCAACCAACACAGAGTATGCTCTGTTTATGCTAGGTAGAGGAGACATCATCATAATTTGGCTCCTTGAGTGAGAGTAGGACTCATTTAGTCCAGTAAGGAACTGAAGTAGTCTTTGATACTCAAAATGTTGTGCATACATCTTTGACTCAGGACAAGGACATCCAGGACATGGCATAAGAGCATCAAATTCATCCCAAAGTTCTCTTAGTTTTGAAAAGTAATCAGTCACAGTCATAATTCCCTGAGTTAAGGTGTGAACTTCTCTATGTAGGTACAGAATTCTGGAGCCATTAACTTTGTCAAATCTCTCCTTTAAATCTTCCCACACTTTATGAGCACTAGATGCATATAAGACACTACTCAACAAACCCGGCCTCACAGCATCATTATCCATTACAGAACAATAGCATTCACTTTCTCCCACAAATCATGAAGTTCAGGTTCAAACCTAGACTTAGGAAACCTACCATCAACAAATCCTAACTTACTTTTACCTAACAAGCCAATTCGCATTGCACGACTCCACAAGGCGTAGTTATCAGATCCAGTAAGCTGAAGAGAGATCAGAGAACTACCTGGTGTGTCATTGGGCTGTAGGTACAAAGAATGATTATAATCGACGGCAGAAAATGAGGAGCTGGTCACAAAATTGCCATTCTCTGAAGTTGTAGCTGTGGCAGTACGAGTAGGAGTAGTAGAGGCATTAACTTGATCATCTTCAATCGCCATTGGTACCAGAAAATTAGTTTCGATTCTGAGTTACTCTGAGGCAATTCCGCAATTTGAGATGCAGAATTGAAGTAACCTAAACGAATGAATTAGTTTGCTCGTTCGATTAGATCTTATACCGATGGCTCTGATACCATGATAGAAGCCATGGGAGATCAATTGAAGCTAGAAAGAAGTGAGAGATTCAGAGAGAAAATGAGAGAAGAAAGAGCTGAGCTTCTTTATTTCTGAATAATGAACTGTACAAGGACTACAGTATTTAACTACTAACTATTAACAAAATAACCGTCTCTAACAAATTTATTGCCTAACTAACTCTAGTTAACATTATAATTAGACCTAACTACAGTTAACCATCAGCTTGTTACACAGGTGCTGGTCAACAAATGCTTACAAGTTAAAAGTCGTAAAATAATAAAAGCGTAAGGCCAATATGAGAAGTTCTAAATAGCACAAAAATTACCAACCATGGCTTTCCACAGAGGATAAAAAAAAGCTAAAATCTGAGAATAATTAAAGTTACAATTCTGGACATGCATTTTGAAAAGAGGAAGGTGTATGGGAAATTGTAGTCTTTTTTTCTTTTGAAACAAAAAGTTCATAAAAGTTAAGGCCTTGAATTCTTATCAGTGAAATTATGAAAAATTATTGTACTTTATTAGCGAGTAATGTTATTGAGCTTTTGGTGAGAGAAGTTCTTTATTTATTTTATTTTGGGATTTTTATATTCCTATACATTATTTTAAACTTTATTATCAAAATTGTTCATGTTTTGTTATTTACACGACCTACACAAATTTTGTTTACAAACTATATACATTTCACGTTAAAAGGCTCTTATTTCACCTTGAAGGAGGATAAGCTCCTTCAGATACTGTTTGATGCCTGTGATACCGCAGCTTCTCGTCTTCTAGCAGTCAAAAGGAATTTATCTAATTGTCCCTTCCATATAGTCCATGGAGGGAACTTGGATTTACCCAGACGATTGTCTTCATTTGCTGATTGAGTCAGTAAATTACTCCAAGATGAGTACAGTAATGACACCCTCTCATCTACCCCCACTGCAAATTTTTCCTGGGAAAAAAAACAACCTTTCCCAGTTCTTTTGTTTAACATTGCAGTCTCCACCCGTAACATATCTAAAAAAAAGGTTAGTTGCTCATAAGATTTCCGCAACAACAGAAAGATGTATATGTTGTTTGGTGCAAATAAGTAATTAAGAAATTGATATTATTGACGAAGAAAACCACTGTTCTTCTCCACTCTTTTTCTACCTTAAAAGGGTCTCAATTCATTAATTAATCCATCTACAACATCATATAAACTAAAAATAAATTTTATACAACTAATTATATAATATACAACTTATTTATAACTTATCAACAACTTTTATACATACTAAAAATAAAATTCATACAACTAAATATACAGTATACACTTATTTACAACTTATCTACAACTTTCATACATTACTTCTACACAGTTAAATACAACTACAATATCATACAACTTAAATACAGATTTTATACACCAGAATACAATTTTCTACAATTTTACTACAACTTTACTACAATTTCGTAAGTATAATGTATGTCATGTGTTCTTCTTCTTCGACGAGTTTCAATCTGAAATTCAGCCAAAATCAAGTCTAATCTTCATCAAAACACTCTCAAAATTGAGATATAAACTCCAAACAATATTCCCAATTGTTTGCAACAACCCCAATCCAAACAAATAATGGTTTTTGAAAACCCAAATTCGAATTCAAAGCTTTTTAATGGCTGTCAATGGTGGAATTGCTGCTCTCTTTTCTTTTGCTTTACATTACTGGAATTAGGGATTGAGAGATAAAGAGAGACGTAGAGAGAATTCCCAATTGTGTGCAACAACATCCAATTCAAACAAATAATGTTTTTTGAAAATCCAAATTCGAATTCAAAGCTTCAAAGCTTTTTAATGGCTGTCAATGTTTTGCTCTACATTACTGAAATTAGCGATTGAGAGATATAGAGAGAGAGAGAGAGCAGGAGAGAGAGAGAGACGGAGAGAGAGAGCGCATGAGGGAGAGAGAATAAGGATGAGAAATAATTGATTCCTAATATAAAGGGATACTTATTTAATTTTTAAAGCGTATATAATTGGTAAATTTGTATATAGTAGGTAATTAAATTGAAACTTAAGTAGGGAGGGTAATAAAGTTTCTAATAGTGTATAGGTATGTAAAAATACCATTTTTAAAGCATGAGAACAACACATTATTACCGACCCAAAAAAATATAACTCTCTAGACGCTTTACGTGTAGAAGAAGTACTTGAAAAAATTGGTTCTCTAACCTTGCTCAAAGCTGTCGTCTTAACTAAAAAACACGTTCTTAAAAACTTAAATAAAATTTGAAAAGAAAGACTTTGCAGCATTGGATAAAAGAAATAAAACACTTTAATATGGATGAAGATCATAATAAGTCTTATTTCAAATGTCAAAATGTTATCAAACGTAAACTCATAATCTGAAATTTAATCATTTGGTCCAATAAGTACTTGAAATATATGCTGCAAATGTATAGCACTGATATACAAACCAACGATGTTCATCACCCTGCTGGTGTAGAAGCTATCAAAGAATTACTAATTGTGTTCTGAGAATGTAAAAGTTCCTTATATTGATAGTGTATATAACTTATACTCCTCTAACAAATACAAAAAAGCAAATCAATTCAGCAGTCAATCTTTGACTGAATAATCAATTGCCTCTGGCAAAAAAATCTTTCTCAATTAAGCAGTCAATCTCAAAATCTCATTTCTTCTCAAAGCTGTGTTGAAGCTATTTGAAACCCATGGAAAGACACCACAAAAAGCATCCCCTTGACACATCCTTGAATAATCAGAAACTTAAGTTTGAACCACCTGGAGCATGGGAATTTAATCTAGTAAAAGACTTGCAACAAATCCCAAATATAAGAGCACAAGAAAAATCCGGTACTGTAACCTCCATTAGCTTTTTCCCTGACAAAATTGGTTGTTGTAAATGCCTGAACACTGCTTAAAGCAACTTTTGATACCAGTAACCGCAAATGCCAAACTTTACTAGAAATCAAGGAAAATGCTCATCAAGATATTACAAGTCTAACAGTCGAAGGATGGCTTCAATTTAGAGAATTGCGGGATGGGTTTATGAGGAATGCAACCTTCAAGAAAAGCCCTGCATAAACACAACAAATACATCAATAATAGTGGGACCTACCAGTGAACAGTTAAATCAATCCACAATAGGGGATTAAAATTAAAATTGCCATTGGATGGGCTGTTGACTTTGTTTGCTCAGCAGAGAAGCAACAACCATATGACAATAAGACCTCTGATGACTCGTTACTCCTGCTCTGATTCAACAAACAGTTGTGAACTAGAGACCAAGTTGACTATATCTGCTCATGCAGGTCATCAAATCCATAACCACGCCCCCTCTACCCCGGCAAGGCAAAACTGTTAACTACTAGATTGAATGCTATGCATGTTATTGGACAAAATATATGAACATGGCCTCAAGGGCGCAAAGCATCCAAAACATAAACATGCACAGAAGGGCGTGTCATAGCGGTCAAATGAAGCTGGAAAAGCATGAGAAATCAGGATTCAAATTGCAACAAAGACAAGTAACTAGGTGATTTCTTCTTATCTATCTAAGCATTGATGGACAGCATTACACGGATGATGGGAGGTAACAAGTATCCGCCAGATTAGTCAAGGTGTGCATAAGTTGGTCCGTGTGCCACCATAAACCAAAAAAAACATGGCTTCCACATGCTTTTAGTGGCTTGAGATCAAGGTTCCTCAAAGTATCCATCACGTGCATTAACATGATTTCAGACTCATTTCTTTCTAATGAAAGGTGGGGTTGATGCACTGCACTGGACCTGAAATGTCACTTGGAGGGTAACATGAAGCTCAAAAGTCAGAATTGGGGTGTAGTCAATACTCCTAAATAGAAAGGGAATTGATTTATGGTCGATTTCGTAAAGAATTGGAGGGGTCAAATCCCTTTCTTAGGCTCTCTATTGGTACATCCATTTCCTTCAGAAATAGACATTTAAGAGAAAACACAGCAAAGCTTCTCAAATGAAGAGAGTCATTCAAGTAAACCTCGTTTTATCCATCGGATATGTCGCTGCAAGTCATAAGAAATTCCGAAGACAAGTTCTTCTGCTGTCCCTGACTTGTGGAACAAGCAAGGGCAATTGGGCATGGCTAAGCGCTACCATATTGATCAGTATACTACAGTCTTATCTTTTGTCCTCATGATCTCTTTCATAAAGCATAAAAGCTGAACATACAGACACCCAGACCAAATGATTTCAAGTGGGTAACGCTTAGATCCCCCATTTGATCAGGCAAAGAAGACAGACAGTGCCATTGCTGCAAATACGGTATCATACAGATTGGCCAGCCAAGCAACTTGTACTGTTAAATCCTAGACCTGATTAAAAGACATACTGGAGCCTGTGGATGGATCTCAATTTAACGAAATAGAAAAGCAGGTAAAACGATAGTTCTAACAAGTACTATATAATTTTTCTATCCCAAGTTATAATCAACGGGAGCAGACATGTAGAAACATACAAAAGGGTGTTCTATCACCTTAGAAGCTCCTCATCCCTCTGCAGCCTCATAAGTCATATCTATCACAATTAAGGGGAATAACATTGCCAGGACAATAAGAAAGAATTCAAAGGTGTTTAAATGATACGTTCATCACTTCTGTGGCACCATAGAGAACTTCCCGTTTCAATAACGTGTTGCTCAACTCCAAGCCAGTTTAGTCCTTTATAGATAAGCCATACTGTAAACCATACTTTTTCAAGAGTACAAACGCATTTGCAGCTTAACGTAAACAGGATCTGTTTCATACGATGCTTCAAACGCTCCATTTACCACTGTACCCTAGAGCCAAGAAGGTCAACATCATCTAAAATAAGAAGGCGGCTCAGATGTGTATAATGATAAGGCAATGAGCAGACCGCCATGGCTCCAACCCAAGCTGCATCTGGGCCTTAAGACACCTTCAAAATCGGGTTGCCCTGCCAAGAGGCGAGCCTCTTCAACTCAATCCTCAATTCCTTGTGTACAGGAATTATCATCACACCCTCTTTCACTTCTATATTATGTCCTCGTTTTGCCGTTGTAGTCCATGGCTTCTTGGATATGATCACTTTTGGAAGAATTCCAAGTCTCCCAAACTTGATAAACCCAATGTAAAAGTTAAACCTATTAGTTATCCATTGGTTATCCACTAGGCTATCCATTTTCTAAGTGGATAATATAGATCTTATTCATTTGACCCATTACTTCCAACCTATTTTTAATGAATAATATGGTCGATAGCTATTTTCTTTTAACCATTTTGCCACCACTAGTCACACGAAAATAACTTTACCATTGCTCCAAGGCTTCCCTTCCTGATTTTCGATTAATCCAAATCATAGAAAAGATTATCTTTTTTTTTTCTTTTCAGCAAATGGGGCTCAGATGTGTTATGATAAGGCAAAGAGAAGCCAGCTACGCCATGGCTGCAAAACACCAGTTGCAAGTGAGAGACAGATATCTCAATCACAGGCCATACCGGGTTGCCACACCAAGATACGGGTCGGCTCATCTCTATGCCCAAATTGGTTAGCCCAGATACAAGAAACATCATCATCACTGCCTCTTTATGTAACTTCCATCAGCAAGATAAACACAAACACAAACACAAAAAGTAAATACAGATTTCAGTGAAAAAGATTTTACTTTTTTCCGGAATTTCACAATTCTTATGTCCAAATGCCCACTTAAATCCTGTCTGCTTCTGCTTTTGTCATAAACAAGGGCTGTTGGTTTTTTTTTTGAAAATGGAGAAAAATCAATGGCGGAACAGAGAAGGGAAACCACCCTTCTAATGAAAATCTCAATACTCTCTGTTTTGCCTCATTTCTTTATGGGCTAACCTTTTTGCATTTTTTAGGGGAAATTCTCGTGGGTTTTTCACCTGCGAATTCCAAAATTTAAGGGAAAAGAGCCTGTAAGTTTGCACTTAAGAAAATAACCTTCCAATTGAGGCTCAGATCTGTAATAATGAAGATAAGGGAAGAGATTGGAGACACCGCCATGGCTGCAAACACCGGTTGCAAGTCGTCACCGTCCGAGTTGCCCCGCCAAGTTACGGTTCCGATTATTCTCCTGCCCTAATCAAGTTGCTCAGAGACAGAAGAAAAAATCATAATCACAGCCTCAGATTTTTGCTACAATTATTATTACTATTGATTCTCTTTTATGGAGTGAGGACTTGGAGATAGAGTAGAGAGGTCGTTTGGATATAGTTTACTGAAATTTTTTTATTTTGTGCCTCTGTGGTCCCAGAATTTTGTTCACCAATGTAAATTATAAATTATGTGAGACACAAAATAAAATCACTCTAGTTTACTGCACAAGGGCATTGTTTGGTAAAAATGAAATCATAGTAATTGTAGAGAGGAGCAGCTACCCTTGAGCTTCCCTCTACTCTCTGCAACCCTCATTCTTTGTGAGCTTTTGGTTTTCTGCTTTGTGTTAAAGAGAATAATTTAAGGCATCAATATTTCTTGTTTTGCCCTCTGATGTATGCTTATTTACAACTTGAGTCCATGCTATAGTAGGCTTATCTGCAGCAAAGTTAAAGGGTATTTTGGGTACAGTTTACCACATAACATGGTCGGTCAATTGAATTTGGTTTTGTTAAATCATGAATGGAATATTTTGGTTTTGCATGTCCTAAGATATACATGTTTGACACGACCAAAAAATTATTTACAGTACAGAATGAAATTATTTAGAAAATAATTTTCCTAACACAGAGTCATAGTGAAGAAAATGCTTTTGGCAGAAGAAGTCAATCTTTCTCAAAATCCTCATTCTTTTGGCCTGATGCTTAAGCTAACACTTAGAGACAAAAAGTAGTTGAAATTCAAAGAAGAAGAAGTTTTAAATCTATTTCACAGTACTTAAGAGGCTCAGATCTGCAAAGAGAGATCGGGCAAAAGAGAGGCAACCGCGCCATGGCTGCAAAATCACCGGTAGCATGCAAAGAAAAAACCTTCGGATCGCCGGCCGTCCGGTGATCCGCCAGGCCAAGATACGGGTCGGATAGTCTCTATGCCCGACCCAGTTAGCCCAGAACCATAAGAAAATATCATCATCATTGCCTCTACTGTTATATGTATCAAAAAGGAGGAATTAAAATCACAGAAAAGGAGACAGAAAACAGAGATCTGGTTGTTGTTGTTGATGCTGAAGTATAGACTGTATAGTACTACATATTTCCATGAATTTAAGGGCTGTTGATTTTTTTTTAAAGTGGAAAAGGAAAATCAATGGCTAAACAGACAGGGGCAACCACCCTTTGAATAAAATCCCAATACTCTCTGTTTTTGCCTCATTTTTCTCTTTTCATTTTTGGGCTAACTTTTCTTTGCTGGGGAAATCCTTTGGTTTTCCACCAAATGAATTTCCACCTTTCACTTTTTTTGTTCTCTTGTTATAAATACTCTTGCTTGGAAGAATCTAGAACGTTTAGCGAATTTTAATCAGTGACAGTTGGTATGTTACTATTTTTTATCTATATTATTTTTTACTCTGTTAACACATAAAATTTACACTTCTTATTTATTTATTTTTAAAAATCAACAACAATAATAACATCCACAATATGATTTATGAGTGGAATTTGTGAAGGATTAGACTATACTTTGTATGAGATAAGAATACTTAATAAAATCTTGGTTGAAGAAAAATATTTAATAAATATTTATTTTAAAAATCGTGGTTGCTTTTGTGTTTGGATCAACTTTCAAAGTAATTGTCGGAAGACTCGGATACAAGGAACAGTACGTGGGACGTGGTCTCTTAATTCCCATCTCCCATAATATTCTTTTGATTTTTTTGAGGTAATTTTTCAGGTAGAATCTCGCAAGGGATAGATATTATTTCTGATTGACAGATCTTTTTTATTTTTTTAGAATTTGTTGGTAGAAGATCTTTATATTTAAAAGGAATGATGATCCACCAAAGGCATATAAGTCATTTCATAAAAATTCTTTGTTTGTATTTTTTAAACAGAAAAGAGTCAAAATTATCCTTATCGTTTACTAAATAATTTACAGTTGCCTCCGTTCACCTATTCGTCCAAAAAAGCACACGACGTTAATTTATTAACAAAAGTACCCATGCGACTAATAGCAGAACTTGTGGGTCTTCTATTTAATGGTGGCATATTTTTATTGGGTCATGTGGCATTTTGGGTCAGACGGCATATATGGGTTTAATACACGTCCCATAAACCAAACCTGCCCTAATTTTTTTATAATCCAGATTTTAAAAAAACCTTTTCGTCTTCTTCCTCCTTTGTTTCATCCTTCCATGGCTTCTATGATCTACCCCTTTTCCTCACTGGTATATTTTCTTCTTCGCCACATTCAAGATCCTCGCAAACAGATTGTAGTACAAAAGATGAGGGCATGCACTGAAATTATAAATTTAATTTGATACTTGAAGAGCTTTGAGTTATACATGTAGACATATGGACTACATTGATGCTTGATTTATGTCTAAAAAAATCAATCAAATGTCGTTCTTCGACCATTTCCGAAACATTGTGTCTTTCTCTCTTTAAAATCTTTTTTCTCTCTCTACAAGTCCAAATGGTTAACCCATCGGAGGTTTCCTCGAATTTTCCTTCAACAGCAGCCCAAATCTCCTGTAAACGATGACCAAAGTGTTTATTTAGTTCCTTAATGTTGAAATCTCACATCCCTGTTTTGACCCATTCCTCATGCAACTATTTGTTTATATATATCAACATAAAAGTAAAATAAACAAAATAAAGAATTGAATTCTCTGATTTTGCTTTCCCGAATTGATTTTTTGATTTGGTTTATCCAATTCAGCTGAACCCGAATTTCAACCCATCATATAATGAAATGTTGAAACAATTGATGCTAGCATTTTTAGTTTTACTCAGATTTGTTTTTGGACAATAGTGTCAGTGGCCCAGTAAAAAGAAGCCAACACATTGATTTGAAGGTCCAGCTGGTCTGCCGTTAAACGTAGGGGTATTTTAATTAATAAAATTAACATAGTATGTATTTTTGGACTAATAGATAGATGGAATGTGTATTTTTGGACTGATAGATGGACAGAGGCTATAAGTAAACCATTTATCAAACAATTAGGGTAGTTTAGGCCCTTTTCCCTTTCTTAAATGCAAAACTATGCCATCATTGATATATGTTGACCCCACATTCCCCTAGCCACAAATCTCCTTTAAATGCACTGTGCCTGTTTTTTTTCTTCTTTTTCACTAAAAGGCGCTGGAAGGTGCTGAATTTATTATTATTCAGTAAATTAAAGAGAGTTATTATAGTCCCGGACTGATTTTAACGGAACTATCTCTAATAAGTCTTTGCGGAAAGTAGAGAAAGCAAATAAAGGTGGTTCACTCCAAAAATGTTCGTCACACTGCGTTAATATGTGAGTTACATTTGCTCCCAAACTGTGCTAGTGTGTGCGCCGCTGGTTTTTCTGTGTTGATTAGACTGTTTTTGCAGTGCAAAATGCTCATTTCCAACCTTTTTTCTCATTTTGGAAAATTATTAATTTTATTTTAGTCAAATAAAAGTTTCCATAAAGAAAGTAAAATTAATTTTTAAGTAACAGAGCAACAAAAAGAAGTATTGATATTTACAAGATTTTCATATTTACCCATGCTATCTTAAAGCAATTTGAAAATGAAAATTAAATGGTTTTCATCTATCCACACTATTTCAAGGCGATTTCTAACTAAATATTTTCATAGTCAAAAGTAATTTTAAAAAGTATAGTTTGTTAAACCTCAAAAGTTAATTTAATTAATGAGATTTATTCCTAATGTACTATTAGGCTATATATATCTTATAAACTTTATTGATTTGATAATTTAATATATAGGTCTTAACTCCGGTCTTCCATGATAAGTTTTCAACTATCAATAAATTGTCTTACATTATTTGTTATAATTATTATATTGTTTCAATATGATAATTAACACATGATAATTCAATAAAAAATAAAAAGATTTCTCTCATCTCCTTAAATTGAGGAAAAAATAAAAAATTATATATTTTATATAGAGTTCTATCAAATGTTTATTATTTTATCACCAGTTAACCTCAATTTAAACGAGTTATAATAAAATATAATTTGAACTGCTATATTGAATTACTACAATTTATATCATGTTCATATTTGTTTTAGTGCCTATTATTCTCTTTGTTTGAAGTAGTAAATTGCCTCATTAGGAATGCAAATCCTCTTGGAAGTTCTCTTTGCTTATTGTACTAAGAATTTCTCTTAATTTTGATGTATACGATATATGAAGTAAAATCATAGTATTTTTTCATCTTTTATCGTATTGTAAATAATGATGTTGTTCGTTTAAACTTTCATCAAGTAGCTGATTGTTTTCACTGTTGAAACACTTGCAAGATCAATTTGGATGTATTCCTGATTAGTTTACAGATAAATTGGTATACTATTTATTCTAGAAAATTATTAATATAGATGACACTTTGTAATGACCCGGCCGATCGTTTGGAGAGTTAGAGCCCTGATCCCCTATTAACTGCTTTCCCCGTATCTTTTTTTTTCTATTGTGACTTGCCGGGAGGTTTCATTTTTGTTTTTGGAAGTGTTTGGGACAATTAGTCCCTAAATGGAGGTTTAAGCCTTAGGATTTGGACTGTAGTCGGAACTGTGTGAAACGACTCCGGAATGGAGTTCCGTCAATTCTGTTATCTCCGTTGGGTAATTTTGGGCTTAGGGGCGTGTTCGAATTGTGTTTTGGAGGTCCGTAGCTTATTTAGGCTTGAAATGTCAAAAGCCAAATTTTTGGAGTTTTGGACCGGCAGTGGAATTTTTGATATTGGGGTCGGAATCCGATTCATGAAGTTGGAGTAGGTCAGTAATGTTGAATATGACTTGTGTGCAAAATTTGAGGTCAATCGAACGTGGTTTGATAGGTTTCAGCATCTGTTGTGGAAATTTAAAGTTTTAAGCTCATTAAGTTTGAATTGGAGGGTGATTCGTGAATTTAGCAATGTTTGATGTAATTTGAGGGTCGACTAAGTTCGTATGGTGTTTTAGGACTTGTTGGTATGTTTGGTTAAGGTTCTGGGGGCCTCGGGTGTGTTTCGGATGCTCAACGGATCATTTTGGACTTTGGGAAGATGGCAGATTTTTCTGGTATTTTTGTTGCTGAAGTTTGTTCTTCGCGTTCGCTAAGAGGAGATCGCGTTCTCGAAGGTATGGCTAATGGAAGCATAGCAAACACGAGGAACAAGTCGCGATCGCTTAGGGTTGAGTGGACCAAAGCTAGGCGACGCGCTTTGCTCATCGCGAACGCGTTGGACTGTTCGCGTTCGCGTAGGTATGAGAGTCAGAGCATCGCGTTCGCGTGGAGTTTTACACGTTCACGTAGAGTTATTTTCTGGGCAGCAAAGTTGAGCTTCGCGATCGTGAGGCTATTTCTGCTATCGCAATTAATGAATCACTGGGCAGTACTTAAAAATTTCAAAATCGAGGGTTAGCCATTTTTATCAAAACTTGAGTTTGGGAGCTCGGATTTGGACGAGATTTTGAGGGATTTTCAGAGATATCAATTGGGAAATGATTCTTAACTTGATTTTAGTTATATCCCACTAATCTATCATTAATATTATCATTCAATTTCGGATTTGGGGTGAAAAATTAGAAAAAATGAAAAGAAGTTCTTCAACTAAGATTTCGAATTTTGATTGGGATTTTGACATCGAATTTGGATAATTTTGGTACGAGTGAACTCGTGAGTGAATGGGTTTTCATATTTTGTGACTTTTACCCGATTCCGAGACGTGGGCCTAGGGAGGATTTTTGGGCGATTTTCCAATTTCTTACCTTAGCTTTGATTTCATTAGCTAGATTAGTTTCTTGTAGCTATATTTATGTTATGCAATTGGTTTTGGATAGAGTTGGACCATTCGGAGATGGATATTCGTGAAAGAGCATTGTGATGGATCGATTTGAGCTTGGTTCGAGGTAAGTGGCTTGCCAAACCTTGTGTGGGGAAACTCCCCTTAGAATTTGGTACTGTTTGATATATGAGTGCCGTGTACGTGAGGTGACGAGTGCGTACACGGGCTATTTGTTGAAAACTCCATTTTCATTAAGTAAAATATCTGTTTTCCTTTAACTAAGCTATACTAGCATATATAATTATCTTGTTTAGTTTAGAACAACATGTCTACGTGTCTTAATTGCTTAACTGAACTCTGTGCAGCATGCTTAGTGAATTTCCTGCTTCTACGTTGACTTGTACTTAGTATAAATCGTAGGATTTTCATGTTGTAGTTGTAATTCTATTGTTTGAACTGCATATTTACTTTGGGACTACGGAACGACATTCTAAGAGATCTCCTTGTACTGCATATTTACTTTGGGACTATGGAACGGTATTCGGGGAGATCCCCCAGCACT